AACTACCTAAGACAATGCGTGGTCTTCGACGGTTCCTAGGTATGATCAATTTCTATCATAGATTCTTACCTAAAGCCGCAGAACTCCAAGCACCTTTACACTCTCTGCTTGGTGGTGCAAATAGCAAGGGATCACTTCCTGTGCCTTGGACCCCGGAAACTGAGGAAGCGTTTCAAGCTTGCAAGTCTGGTTTGTCGTCGGTGACACTCCTATTTCATCCGAAACACGACGCCCCTCTTGGACTGTTTACAGACGCCTCTGACATTAGCATAGGAGCTTGCCTTCAACAATTTGTTGAAAACTCCTGGCAGCCACTTGGATTCTTCTCTAAGAAACTTTCACCAAAGCAAAGCTCTTGGCCGGCGTACTACCGTGAACTTCTTGCTGTGTATGAAGCAGTACAGCATTTTCGTCATTTTTTGGAAACCACGGCATTTACCATTTTTACGGATCATAAGCCACTCATCTTTGCTTTTCATCAACATCATGAGAAACTTCCACCTGTTCAACTACGCCAGCTTTCATTCATATCCGAGTTTTCTACTGACATAAAACACATCGGAGGTTCAGAAAACATTGTTGCCGATGCGTTATCACGTGTAGAGGCTATTTCATGTTCATTGGATCCTGAGTCAATTGCCAAAGCACAAAGCTCAGATGACGAACTCATCAACCTCATAAACAACAACAATTTGTCTCTCAAAATACAGAAGATCCAAATCCCTGGAACAAACTCATTCATCTTTTGTGACACTTCCACAGGGACCCAAAGACCTTATATTCCAGTTGAACTACGGAAGAGGGTATTTCATTCGCTACATGACCTCAGCCACCCAGGCATTAAAGCTACTGCAAAACTTGTAGCAGATCGATTTGTCTGGCCAAGTATTCAAAAAGAATGTTGTAACTGGGCTCGTACTTGTGAGCGATGCCAACGTTGCAAGGTAACACGACACGTTCATACTCCTCTAGGAACATTTTCTTTGCCATCATCACGTTTTGAGCACATCCATGTTGACATAATTGGACCTTTACCACCAGCAGGACCATACAAATACTGTCTTACAGTCATAGACCGTTACACTAGGTGGCCTGAGGTTCATCCTTTAAAGGGGATTACTGCAGAAGAAGTCGCTGAAGGTCTAGTCTCGTGCTGGTTTTCTCGTTATGGTGCTCCTTCAAGAATAACTACTGATCAAGGCCGCTTATTCGAATCATCCCTCTTCAAGTCCCTTGGAAGAACTTTCGGCTCTGAAAGAATCAGGACTTGCAGTTACCATCCCTGTGCAAATGGATTGGTGGCCACCATCCGGAGAGATTCCATCGTCATCTCAAAGCTTCACTGATGTGTCATCATGATTCATCCTGGCTGGAAGCTCTTCCGATTGTCCTCCTAGGTAAGAAGTGCGTACCGCGAGGATATTCAAGCGTCAACGGCAGAAATTGTTTTCGGACAACAGTTGAGACTTCCAGGAGAATTGTTTGATCTCCCTGTTGACGGACCCAGGCATGAAGATCCTACTGATTATGTTGTACGACTCCGCCAACACATGTCTTCAATCAAACCTGTCCAAGCTTCACGCCACGTCAAACCCAAAACTTTTATATTTCAGGATCTTAGAAAGTGCACCGATATTTTCCTAAGAGACGACTCTGTGAAACTTGCTCTACAGCCTCCCTACAACGGACCATATCCTGTAATTTCTCGTGATGAAAAATCCGTAGTAATAACACAGAATGGCAAACAAGTGCGAGTGAGCTTAGACAGGGTGAAGCCTGCATATATGTTACCCGAAAAGTGTAATCACCCAACAATCAAGGAGCCTCAAAATATACAACCTCCAAACACATCCCTCAACCCTCCTAACCCGGCATCATTCAGAAGCTATACGACTCGGTATGGACGAAATGTTAAGCTCAAGCTTCCTGGACTTCCAGTCTCTGCGGGGGGGGGGGGGGGGCTGATGTGGCGTCAACTTAGCCACAGCTGTGTTGCCTTTGGTCTATGCTTTGTTTTCATATTTGTTGTGTAACAGCTGTTGCTTGTTTTTGTAAAAATGTTCAGTTTTGATTATGTTATGATTCAACACACAACTTAATTCATTTGTAAATAAATCATTATCAAATACTCATTTATATAGTAGTGAATTTAATTCATACAGATTATCCACACTATAACAATTCCTTCCAAAATGACCATTTTCACAGCCATTTAAAAACTCCCTAGCATATTTCTGCAATTTCACGCTATCTTTAGCCATCCCTGGTTTTATTCTAAAGATTAAACTCTATTCTAAAGATAAAATCACAAACCTTTGATAATAAAGTGTCTGATAATGTCTAATAAGGTAGTCAGCATTGTCGAATTACGGTACGTCCAGAGTGCACGCCAATTCAGATCAGTGGCGGTTCTAGGACCATGTCAAGGGGGGGCTACCGGGGGGCTTGGGGGGTGTGGAGTACCCCCCGAACAAAGAAGGGGGGTCCAGGGGGTCCTCCCCCGGGAAAATTTCGAATTTTCAAAGCAGTTTGGTGACTTTCTAAGGCCATTTTTAACACCCAAAACCGTGCCCAATTGTCCATAAACTCCCATTTCACCTGTTGTTTGTCATGAGCAAATAGACATTTTAAAAATTAAACTATGACGATTGCTTTCATGAATTTCAAAACACACTGTAGACTACGGCCATATCCTCCTAAAAGCCGTTGGGCGACTTTCTACAGCCAGTTTTAACGTCTAGAACTGTGTACAAAACCTCCCATTTCCCCATTTATTTGTCATGAATAAGTAGACATTTTTAATTAAATCTACAGTAACTATGACGATTGCATTAATTCATAAATCTCAAAACATATTGTAGGCTACGGCCATATCTTCCTAAAAGCTGTTTACTGACTTTCTAAAGCCATTATTAATGTCTATATCTGTGGCCAACTATTCAAAAATTTCTCATTTCACCTGTCATTTGTTTTGTCATGAGCAAGTAGACATTAAAATAATCAAGCTATGACGAACTTGCATTCATGAATTCCAAAACATAGGCCTACTGTAGACTACGAAGCCAAATCTCCTAAAAGCCGTTTGGTGACTCAAAACATAACGGCTAGAACTGTGTCTAATTGTCCTATAACCTTCCATTTCTCCTGTTTTATGTCACGCAAGCAAGTAGACACGTTTATTAACCTTACGTTTTTCTCCATTTCATAGATCTGTCACAATATTTATAGTATTGAATTCAGTAGGTAATAGCATTGAATATATAAACTTTAACACTTAGTGTTTATATAGTCAATGGTAATAGGCTAGTGGTGCTACCGCTGATTGCTGATTGATGCCTGTGTAAAGTTAGTGGCTAGCAGACCATTTGACAACTAACTCACGAAATCAGCTGTTTCCCCGTCCTCGCTCGTGCGCTCGGCGCTCGCCTTTGCCCTAGCATGTCAGCTGACTGCTGTAAAAATTGGATGATGCGTACAACTTTCCATAGCGTAATATTGTTTTATTCGTTGTGCTATTATTGTCCACAAAGTTTATCTATGTGAAACTTAATACTACTCCTGCCATCGCTCATTAAGTTTAATAAACCTACGTTGATGTCTGTTTTATGACAGTATTTAAAGGACGAAATGTACGTTAAAATTTATTTTTCCAGGGTCCAAGGGGGGGGCTTTAGCCCCTGTAGCCCCCCCCTTGGAACCGCCACTGATTCAGATTCAGATTTTCGGCGACAGAAATAGCACTTGCATTCAAATGGAAGTGGTTGTAGTGGCTGCCGGTTTCCGACCCCGCGCGCAGGCACCTGCTTACCGGAAAGAATTCTTCATTCTGGTTTCAGATTCCGATTCAGATTTTGCTCGTACGCATACTATTTAGTTAAATAAATTATGTTTTTATGTTAAAATATTGAATTTTTTTCATTCTTACATTTAAGGTTACCACTAAACGGTCTTCAGGATTTTTGTTTATCTAGGTTACACCAGTTTCTTACAATACGATGTCCAATTTTAATAACAAGTTTCGGTGGTTTCGGACTCCATTCATCGCAATAAACCTAGAAAGAAGCTCTATCATTTTTATTCTAGCTATAGGAAAAGATTTATATAATATCATGAACACCAGTTTTCACTGGCTGTAACTTCACAACAATTTCAGACGATATAATTTTACACGTAAATTCCTCATCCGACAATTCCTAACAACGACTGACTTGCTTCTTTGCTACCGAGTCAGTACCGGCGACGTATTTCCTGCTTCCACTGTGGCCACCAACAAAATATCTGACTCAGATTAATCACGTGCCGAAAATCTGAATCTGAATCGGCGTGCACTCTGGACGTATCGTTACAGAACAATTTAAATTATTGATCACCATCCACCTAAAGAAAGCTTTTCAATTTGAGAAGGTGGGAACTGGCAATCCAGTGTGTAACCAACTCCAGAACCACCTAGTGATGTAGCAACACTAGATAGTTGGCTATAGCCATGACAGCAGCCATTTTGTTAACTTTATCACTTTCTCTACACTTGACAAAGTCCCAGGTGACGAATTATTGTGTGCCTGCTGTATGTTCTATAGTATACCTTTACTTTTTCAAGGTAAGCTAGCTGCTATCCTCTTTAAAGGTACAAACTGCATAGTAAACAATGTTTATTCGAACATCACAGACCAACATGATCAGACTAAGTGAACAGGATTATATGGGGTAAAAAAGGATGTTCCCATTTTTTTACAAAACAAATAGTTTAGCAATGTTTGTCTAAGTCATGTCTCCAGAGCTTGAAAATCAAATAATTTAGTACATGAAGGGTTGTAAACTTAATTGTAGATTTAAATTTTTTTATTATTCTTTTGGTGAGTAAAGTAAGCTTTTGTAGTTCCTCACAAAATCTGCAAAACATCCCTAAGACTGACAGGATTTCAGGAGGTTTTTTCAAGAGGTTTTTTAAAGGCTAAACTGGAACTAAACTGGAGGAAAAATGCTAAACTGATAACAAAATCTCAAGAAAAAATTTTATTTACTGTATATTCTTTTTTACCTTATAGCTAAACATTTCCCAAGGTTATTTAATTGAATACTAAACAAGAAAATCTGTTGATATGCTATACCTCTGATTAATATAATTATAATGCATATATGCTCATAAAATGATGAAAAAATCCTCGCTTGTGTTATTTTATTTCTTATACAAATATTCCACAACAAATTTCACACAGTTATTTTACCCTCCCTTAGAAGAAAGAGCTTTTACTGTGATAAAGATTGGCAAATCGCCATCCCCATCAACCAGTTCCTCTAATTCGTCAATAGGAAAAACCGCTGCGTTGTTCTCCATGGACTCATCATCCTCATATGGCAAGACTTCGATCAAAGTTCTATACATAGTTTGCTGACCTCGCTTGTACTCAACTATAACTCTGTACTCGACACTAGATCTCTCACACATAACATGTCTGAAGCTGTGATACAGATAATTTCCTTTCTTCCAACATTTCATAATCAAATATTGGTCTTCAACTACATGATTGTAATACACACATTTCCAAATGCCTGGGAAACTGAAGATTCTCAAGTGTGTAATGACCACATTTAGTCGGTATTCAGCTATGTTAGAGGTATGGATGTTGATGTGTTCAAACCACTCGATGATGGCTCCAGACCATTGACAATTGGCAATTCTACACTTTATCTGTCTGTAAACACAATACTTGGAGTGATTATCCAATATAGTAACAACCCCACACATTTCATTAGGACAGAGCTGTGGCAACACTGACAGCAGCTCCTCCACGACCCTGGGAGAGACATTACTGAACGGTTGACGACACACATGGCAGTTGGCAGCATTGTTCCTACACTGGCCGCAAGTTACGTGTCCGTTGACACACAAGACGATTGGTGCTCTGACCAACTCCAGGCACACTGGGCATTGAGCGATCCTCTCTACCCGATCCAGATACTGTTTTACATCTTCATCCTCCTGGAAATAGAATTGTTTCAGAAAACACAAGTTAACGACCTTCAACATAACTTTATTTTGTGTATTGCCTTCTGGTTTACTTCAGATTACTTCACAAACGATATATAAGAGGTTAAGTTACCTTTATTCTGTCCGAGTAATCCTAAAGTCGTCTGGAGGGCGACCGGTTTCAATGTCTATGGCGTCATTGTCAAGCTGTCTTAAAATCGCAACCTCCTTAGACCAACCATAGACGTCGAAACTGGTTGCCCTACAGACAACTTTAGGATTACTTGGACAGAATAAAAGAAAACTTAACCTCTTGCATATAACTTCAATATAAAAAATTGGATTATACACGAGGCAGTCTGGAACACACCCTATGAAACCTCTACTTAGAAATATTTGTCTTGATAAGAAACCTTGCAGAAAACTATTCATTGTAAAATTGCCATTTAAGGTAGAACTATTTAAAAACTAAAAGAACTAAAGGAGGGGGGACTAAAGGGAACTTTCTATGTTCTTTTACTTACGTTACGGATAAATTTGCTATAGATATTTTATTTTACCAAAGGGTTTTCATCTGTTTGTTCTATTATTATGTTTGGTTTATTTAAGCTAACCTTAATAAAGTTATTTTAACACAGAATAAATATCACTATATGAATGTAAGATGTTAAAAATAGTCCCCGTCAGTAGACCACAGCACAAAAAGCTCATTGTAAAACTACACCCACAAAATTTAGGAGGTTTGAGTGGAATCCATATCCCCTCCACCCAAGCCTTACCCTGACGGTGGAACAACAACAGTTTGAAATAACATCAGACAGCCGATAATCTTTTTAGCAAATTTCCCATATAAGCTATTACCATAAGTCTCATGGTAAGATACAGGACCTATTTACTATTTTGTTTTAATCTCCCCAGAGGCCAAAAACACTATCTGCACCCTTGATAACATAAGTAAGTGTAATTTTCAAATCGCCAAGAACTTACCCCTAATCACATTTTATTTTATTTTACCCCACATTGCAAACCTCGATATGAAGGCAACCTTGATAACAAGTCTTATTTAATTGTCCCCATGAGACTCTTGTAGTCTAGGTTCCACTGATACATATCCTATACTTTTATACAGGGTGTTCAACAAAGGTGGGGACATATTTTACATAGTGATTCCTTGGGTGAAAATAAAGAGAAATTCAAGAATAAAATTTTGTTTATCGCTTCGTTAACCAGATATCCGCCATTTTGTATTTTTACATGAGCATTTTTATCTTTGAATTTTTTCAACCGATCTTTATGAAACTTGATATGTATGTTAAGGTTAAAAAGATCCATCTTAGAAAAAAAACACCTTGATTCGGCTAAAATTTAAAAATGGCAGCCATTTAATTTTTTTTACTTAAATTACAAAGAAATGGCAGATTTTATGAAAAATTTCAAGAATATTTTATTTATCATTTTCAATTCCCAATCAAACGTTACCAAGTTCAAAAAATCAAATAAGAAATAGCTGGAACATTATGACTTTTAGTCGTAAAATGGGGCAAACCTGACTAGTTTAGTCTTATACTACCCCATTTTACAACTAAGAGTCGTAATATTTCAGCTATTTCTTATTCGATCTTGTTTAACTTGGTATCATAACTGTAAGTACGAGGGTAATTAGATTCAGTTGTTATGCTAATTGTTTGATCATTTATTTTTTTCTATAGTTTAGGTGCACTGGTAAAACATTATGGTTATGGTACATTTGTTTACCATTTCATTCCGTAGTTTTATAATAACCAAATTTTCCAAAACCGCTCTTACCCCCATTGCACACACAAAGCACAAGTATAACTGCAATAGCATGTTACACTCTTATACACCAACCCCACGAAGGGCAGGTACTCTGTTGAGTATAATTTAGAGTTGACTAAAATTAACAAACCTAATCTAATACACAATAATTTATATTAATATGCTATAAATACTTCCTAGTACTTTGCCTGGCACACATGTGGATGTACACAATTCCTTGCCTAGTCAAAGTGAATAAAATCAAATTGTTATTATAATATTTCATATTACTAAATATTATAAATCTGAAAGTTTGTGTGTATGTGTGTTGCTCAATCATGCATAAACTACGGGACGGATTGGGCTGAAATTTGGCATGATGATAGCTCACATTCCCGATTAACATTTAGGCATATTCTTATCTCAAAAATCCTCTCGGGCTCTGCCCCAGTGGCTCTGTAGTTCCCCATGTTAACCTTCTGAGTACTAATATTTAAATGGAATTAAAGAATCTTAACAGCTGGTTCAACTAAACAATTTTATTATGTGATGTTCAATAGCATCAAAAAGTTAATAGGTTTACCAGCAGGGTGCAGCACTGTTATTTTTTTATTTATGAAAACAGCTAATTTGCAACCAAAAGGTGAGTGTGCGTAGTGAACGAACTTCAACCTGGAGGCGAGTTAGCGTAGCGAACGAGCTAAACCCGAAGGCAAGTGAGAGCAGCGAACGAGCTCCAACCTACCAAATTTTCTTAAACCATGTCCTCTCCCATAACTGTAATAAGCATTTTATACTTATATGCTAACCCCGTACCAAGGACGGGTATTCTGCTTGTACTTTATAATTTGCCTAAAAGCTTTAAACAAGCTGAAATTCCTGCATTATAATACTTTGCCTGTAACATTTATATGAATTTGAACGTATGGTGTTGATCTTAACCATAATGACCATTGACCACTCATATTGTTTGATCAACAGTAACCTATCTTTAAAATGAGTTACCTCCCTTTCATGAACCAATTTTCTTAAAATTTAAAATTAAATAAATTAATGGGTACAATTGTATGTTGTCCCATTAAACATATTCACCCTGTATAGAGGTTACCGGGACCATATAATCTACTATAGAATTTCATGTAGGCTATGAATCAGAAAGAATTTCAAACACGAATAAATACCTACATATTTTCCTACAGTTACCTGACAAAGCAGGCTATTTCCGTCCAACACTTGCATTTAACCTAATCTAAAACATGTTGTTAAGTGTTTGAAAGACTAATTATTTATATGCTTGATAGTAACTGTAGGAAAAATGTAACTCAAGAGCAAAGTGCCTTTACTGCACTCGAGAAACTTACCGCACATACTAGTTACCGGTAAATAACTATTTCATGTTAACAATGAATAATAACAATAGTGTTATACATAAATTATTTCAGAAAATGCAGTTTTAAATATACACTTTACTTAGATAACAGATGTAAACTAAAATATTAAGTAACCTTACTTACCATGTTTTAATATCCTTTTCTGTTCAACTAAACATTCAACATCACTCTCTTGAGCAAGTCTACAGTAATTTTTATCTACCATCAAGCATTTGAAAAGCAAAATTCCTGTTTCTTCCTATTTGCAAGAGTTGATCAAATCAAGTTTATCATCATGTGTTTAAGATGATAACTGTGCAGTTTAACCTCCCTGAAGTTAAGCTCTACTCAACTAAACACTGATTAGCTAGTTGCTAGTTGTTTTCTAGTCAAGAGAAGGACAACAGATAACAAGATCATGTTTCTTTTTGTCCTGACTTATACCAACCCTTTAACATCAAATACTAAACTTGAATCAATTTGTCAATTCTAGTTACATTAACATAATATTATAGTTAATGTAAATAATGTACTAAAAGAAGTTTGGAATAGCTATAGTTATTGTAACATAAGAGGGTGTATTATCTTCAGTACACAATTTATTATAAACTAAATGCTTACAATTTGTAGTTACTCATACAAACCTTAAAATAAAAAGAAACTTGATTCTACATTATATTAAAGATCACTTCTACCATCCTTACCCAAGTAAATTTTAAACCTATGTTTACAAACTATATAGTCATTATAGATCATGAAAATTAAAATTTAACAAAATTAAGATTTAACAATAATATTAACAAAACAAGTGGTACTGGTATAACTTATCAGCCCAGCTTTTAGAGACTTGACAGTTTAGTTTTAAATGTATGTACTAGAAATGCCTGGATTTTTTATTTATAAGAGTGCATTACAAAATTAAATCTGCTTTAGTAATGCCTGGATAAATTGAGGAGAATTTTAAATATCATAATTTTATTAATGACAAGTGTACATGTTGCTCGAAATCGAGCAATTGCGAAGAAGTAAAGTACGGTAGTTGTTTAAAAACAAATAACTTATTTAAAACCTAATAAAAGTCATAATTTCCGATGAGTTTAAAAGACTCAACTCATAGATCACGTACCTAACAGTTCCATATAATCAACATTTCTTGTAAATATTTTATCATTTTTCTAAAGCTGATCTAGTTTTTTAGTGTATTCTACAAATATTTCCCACTTATAGCCGCATTAGGTTGTCCATGTTGATCTTCGTCAATGATAATGTAGTCTGCATGGTACTACCCATTGTTGCCAGTACGTTTACAAATTTCTGTAATTTTTTTACAACGATAACATTTTGTTTACATTACTTAAGAACTGCCTGATTTTCTGCATAACCTCTCTATCACAATTGTATTTGCTTCAATTGTCAATAATTTGGCTAGTTACTGTTATAACGTATGTTATATAATTGAGTACACGTATATTCAATTATATATGTGTATACTCAATGGATAAATTTACCTGAAAAAATTCAGGATTGAAAGGCCTAATATTGTTCAGATGGTTTTTTGTTTCCCTTAAATGTGAATAATGCAAATCCTTCAATGAAAGTTTTATTAACGTTTTTTGGATGTAGTCATATTATTTTAAAATCTCTTTTGACTTTTAATAAAACATATATTTAATGTCCTTGCCGTAACAGTTTAATTCAGCCTTAGAGTGTTTTCCTTTGCCAATAATCATAAAGTTAAGTCCGTGTTTCCTACAAAATAGTAACACTTCGACTAACATCCTTGTTCATTTTTTGTGGGAATATTCATACTGTAGGTGTTCTTCATTATATAGGAGGTAAAATATATCAAATTGCCAAGGCTTTCTCGATTATTTAAATTGTAAATTAAAGTAGTACATTTATTTAATTTCTATTCAACCAAAATCAGTAAATGAAACCAATGCGTTTCGTTGAATTGAAAGATAAATAACAGCAATTAAATTATACAGCTGATCAAAATGTAAACAATTATGTTCTTCATAAGGAAAACATGGGAACCTTTAAAGCCACTGGGGCAGAGCTTAAGGGACTTTTTCATAAATGTAAGGCCAGTTTGCAAATCTGCTCGACACGATCTTTCCAATGAGACGTCAATGGATAAAATCGGTCAAGAAATGGCGGAGGAGTTCAACCGACAAAGTTTTATGTAGCGTATTAATTATAAGGATTTCTTTAAATTTTATTTTATTAACCGGTTTTGGTCTTGTCTCCCTTCAGTAGAATCTCTTGTATTCATCCTTGGTTTAACTGACTCCTCAAAATAATTAAACACGAGTGTGGTTTTTAAGTAAGGGCCTGTGCCGGTTTCTTGTATAAATCTGTAGTTCGCTTGTATGCCACACCGAGGCTAATCACCATTTTACTGGCATTATTAGTGAACAGAATGACACAAATATCAGCTCTGTAGTTGTCATGTATGCTTTGCTGCATGTTTAAAAAAAATTTTAAACAATCTAATCTCCTGCCACGTCCAAGGTAAGGTCAGTAATATGTTTTTTGAATACAAGAAACATTTCCGATGCTGACATTCATCGCCTCATCCCCAAATGAATTAAGGTGATGTTTTTAATACTGTACTATGAGTAAGGGTAAAGTGCGGAAATGCGTTATGGAGTGTGAAATCTTTTTCTTATTGGTCTTCTTTGAGAAGTCTGGATACTCACCAAAAACACAATTCCTTCCAAAATGAGCATTTTCACAGCCATTTTAAAACTCCCTAGCATATTTCTGCAATTGCCATGCTATCTTTAGCCATCCCTGGTTTTATTCTAAAAAATTAGACTTTATTCTAAAGATAAAATCACAAACATTTGATAATAAGGTGTCTGATAGTGTCTACGGTACGTCTAGAGTGCACGCGGATTCAGATTCAGATTCCGATTCAGATTTTTGGCGACAGGAATGGCACTTGCATTCAAATTGAAGTGGCCATAGTGGCTGCCGGTTTCCGAGCCCGTGCGCAGGCACCTGCTTACCGGAATTCTTCATTCTGGTTTCAGATTCCAATTCAGATTTTGCTCGTACCGGTACGCATACTATTTAGGTCAATAAATTATGTTTTTATAGAAAAATATTTAATTTTTTTCATTCTTACTTTTAGGGTTACCACTAAACGGTCTTCAGGATTTTTGTTTATGTAGGTTACACCAGTTTCTTACAATACAATGTCCAATTTTAATAAAAAGTTTCGGTGGTTTCGAGCTCCATTCATCGCAATATACCTAGAAAGAAGCTCTAACATTTCTGTTCTAGCTATAGGAAAAGATTTATATAATATCATTAACACCATTTTTCACTGGCTGTAACTTCACAACATTTTCAGACACTATAATTTTACAATCCGACAATTCCTAACAACTGACTTGCTTCTTTGCTACCGAGTCAGTACCAGCGACGTATTTCCTGCTTCCACTGTAGCCACCAAATATATCTGACTCAGATTAACGACGGGCCAAAAATCTGAATCAGCGTGCACTCTGGACGTACCCCAAATTATTGATCACCATCCATCTAAAAAAAGCTTTTCAATTTAAGAAGTTATAAAGTAAAGTCAAAGTCATTTATTCAACCAGATTTACATAGTTTGACATAGGCAATCCAGTGTGTAACCAACACCAGAACTCCCCCCAACCTTAACCTAAGATATACCTAGTGATTTGTAGTAACACTAGATAGTTGGCAATAGCCATGACAGCAGCTATTTTGTTAACTTTATCACTTTCTCTACACTTGACAAATTCCCAGGGGACGCATTATTGTGTGTCTGCTGTATGTTCTATGGCCTATCTTTACTTTTTCAAGGTAAGCTAGCTGCTATAAACTGCAAACAGTAAACAACGTTTATTCGATCTTCACAGACCAACATGATCAGACTAAGGAAACAGGATTAAATGGGGTAAAAAAGGATGTTCCCATTTTTTACAAAACAAATAGTTAAGCATAGTTCCTCTAAAGTCATGTTGAGCTTAAAAATCAAATAATTTGGTACCTATAAAGGGTTGTAAACTTAATTGTAAATTAATTTTTTTTTATTATTCTTTTGGTGAGTAAAGTAAGCTTTTGTAGTTTTTCACAAAATCTGCAAAAAAACCCCTAAGACTGACAGGATTTCAGGAGGTTTTACTGTTTTAAAGGGAAAAAATACTACACAGATTACAAAATCTCAAGAAAAAACTTTTTATTGTACATTCTTTTTTACCCTAAAGCTAAACATTCTCCAAGGATTTTTAATTGAATACAAAACAAGAAATATAATATGCTATACCATACCTCTGATTAATATAATTATAATGCATATATGCTCATGTAGAAAAAAATGCCTGACAATTGTGTTATTTCATTTCTTATACAAATATGCAACAAAAAGTTTTACATAGTTATTTCACTTTCCCAAATAAAAAAAACGTTTTAGATTTTACTGTGACAAAGACTGGCAAATGGCCATCCTCATCAACCAGTTCCTCTAATTCGTCAATAGGAAAAACCGCTGCATTGTTCTCCATGGACTCATCATCCTCATATGGCAAGACTTCGATCAAACTTCTATACATATTTTGCTGACCACACTTGTACTCGACTATCACCCTGTACTCAACACTCGATCTCTCACACTTAACATGTCTGAAGCTGTGATACAGTTCGTTTCCTTTCTTCCAACATTTCATAATAAAATATTGGTCTTCAACTACATGATTGTAATACCTACATTTCCAATCGCCTGGGAAACTGAAGATTCTCAAGCATGTACTGACCCCGTTTAGTTGGTATTCAGCTATGTTAGAGGTATGGATGTTGATGTGTTCAAACCACTCGATGATGGCTCCAGACCATTGACAATTGCCAACTCTACACTTTATCTGTCTGTAAACACAATACTTGGAGTGATTATCCAATATAGTAACAACCCCGCACATTTCATTAGGACAGAGCTGTGGCAACACTGACAGCAGCTCCTCCACGACCCTGGGAGAGACATTACTGAACGGTTGACGACACACATGGCAGTTGGCAGCATTGTTCCTACACTGGCCGCAAGTTACGTGTCCGTTGACACACAAGACGATTGGTGCTCTGACCAACTCCAGGCACACTGGGCATTGAGCGATCCTCTCTACCCGATCCAGATACTGTTTTACATCTTCATCCTCCTGGAAATAGAATTGTTTCAGAAAACACAAGTTAACGACCTTCAACATAACTTTATTTTGTGTATTGCCTTATGGATTACTTCACAAACGATATATAAGAGGTTAAGTTACCTTTATTCTGTCCGAGTAATCCTAAAGTCGTCTGTAGCCAGTTTCAACGTCTATAGCGTCATTGTCAAGCTGGACTTTAAAT